GCCTATATGAATAAACCACTGTTGTAAACCATAAGAGAGTTTATTTGTATTTTATTGCCTTTCTGTGGTCAGTGCTCTGTTATTTTCCATATTTCTTACTCAAGGGTTTTATAATAAGCCGGAAAGTTTACTGAAAAGTTTACCTGCTCGATAGGAACTTTTCTGTGCCGCCATGTTAAAGCTTCTATCAAGATTCGAGATTAAAAATATGTGGAAGTTCACCTCAATTCCCCCATAGGAATGTCCTTATGGCGTGAATATTAAGTACAGGTATAATTTTAACACATTTTATAATGAAAATATTACATAATTTATTGTTTTAAAATGTAATTAACTTTGTGTGGCTGGAGAATTTCATTGTACCTAATTTACTAATTAAATTATTGCGGCTAATAATATTTTTTATATTATATATACTACTATTATTGTTATTATTATTATTAATACATCGACTTGATGTCGGTACACAGAATTTGTCAGTAAACCGCATTTCACTTGAAACATTCTTGCCTGCAAATATCACCGGTTCACCTCCTATTAAACTTTTAAACATGTCTTACAGCCACGGCTCTTTTATTTTGCGAACAAGACTCAAGCAAACACAAGTTCTGATCGTGTATAAAATGAAAATTAATGTCCTTTATACTTGTCTGAACAGCTTCTCAAATGGGATTAATGATCTCTTTTAAAGTAAAAACGCAGAAATAAAAACAGAGGTCATTAAAGAATAATAAAACATGAGCAAACCTTTCACTTGAATTTAGTAACAATAAAGCTCGTTTGCTTTCCGTTATAAGGCGGGCTGCGAGCTTGTTTAGCGAAATGTGAAAAATTGATGACAGCCGGCGACTAGTTCTTCTGATGAACATAATTTATGTCATAATCAGTTTTCCAAATTGATTAAATGTTGCATTGGGAAGCCAATATAAGTGTAATAATGTATTACTTCAGCCGGTATGCAACATCACGAAGAAACTGCTCTAAGACTCGGCTTTGTTCCATTTTCACCTCCACGGACGGAATTTCAAAATCCTTAAATGAATATAATCTACAAGAGGGATTGTACTAGGGCCTCCTAAGTGTCACGAGTTTTGATCCTACATTTTGAATCGTATTTTACTGCACAACCTGGGTAAATATGGATAAACCTGAATAAACCTTTAAAAATGTTTTCACATCGAATTACTGAAACTGCCGTAGTGCATATTTTCGCTTCTGTAACGTTCATAAAACTTCCGACAAAGAATCTTTGTTAGGTCTCCGTTTATAGAGACCTACTGGGTAGTTTCTTGGGTTACCTCAGTCCATCCCTTCTTATGCTCAAAAAATACATTTTAATAATTAAATATAGGCCTAACAACTGATCTATATTGGAAGGACAAATAGGCCTAACTCGGGTATATGAAAAATTGCCGGGGACAGCACTTCCAAAGTAACGTGACCACCTGCTTATAAATTCCTGCCCGTTCATCATCACTTATCACCTTTCCGCCTGATTCGAGGCTAAACCATTATACAGGATAAAGAATGTTAATTAAAACAGAATATAGTGAAGAAAAAATCTCGTAGTTCTGATTATGTGTTTGTGGCGATACCCAAGTTTACTTCCGAAATCTGATATAACGCCTTGACACTCCTTTTTCAGAGCCTCTTATGTTGCCCAATTGTCCATTTCGAAAAAGAATCCAACAGTGCTATTTCAAATATTTGTATTACCCGAAGGTACACGCAAGTAATTAAGAAATCAGAAATTCTAACTTAACTCAATGGAGCAGGGCCCTTATACAAAAGCAGACTATCGCTCAGCCACAGGAGAAATTCCCCGCCTTATGGAGATTAACTCTTCATTGCCGTGTTTCCAAGAATCTGCCACTGATCGTCGTCTTGAGCCAGCTGAATCTTGTCCACATTTTCACATCCTACTCGCTTCACGCGTTCATGCCTCCCAAAATCATCTCTCGCCAGTTTTGCCAACTAAAATGTTGATGAATTTCTTTACATGTCTACCGACCGTGCCACATATCATTCCCATGTAATCCTACTTAATTTGACGGCTTTAAAATTATTTGGCGAAGAACATAGCTCACGGAGCCATCTTCTTTCTTGTGTTCAAATAATCTCTTCACTTCCTTCTTATACTCTCTAGTATTCTTCCATCAGGGCAAGAAACCTTGTTGCACACATGTATGAAAGGGTTTAAATTACAAGCTACCCCTCTTTATTTTAACCTTGGATGTTAAGGCAGCAGACGATAAGACATAATGTTGCTATCGACCTATCTCCTGAGAAGACTGACAGCCTACCAACTGATCCAGCATGCCATTTCAGTACGATGAACCAGTCTGTTACAAAAAAAAGTCTGTGTGAATGCAATGTTTGGGCCTGCAGATTTCACTTCTAAGGGGGATCTAGCCCCAAATTGGTTCGCACCCCCAGGAAACACGGTCTGAACACACAGTCACTTCATAGCCCTGATGATGGGGAAAATAAGTGGTCTCTGAAACGTCTGTTATTCCTCCATTCTTCAGGTTTCATTTTGCTCTACAGAAAGTTGAGTAATTAAATATGTTGTATTTATAATCTTTGTCCCCATCATGGCCAATGGGAAATGCCAATTTTCAAAGCATGCTATATTATTTTACCTATGTCTCCTGCTTACATGGTAAGATGCGGGTGAATGAAATGTTCATGAAATCAATTATTTAATTTTCTATACAAACGTTCTTTTAAATACATCGCTGTAATAGGAAACGCTAGACATAGCTATGTCTCAGTTCTGTTCTAATGTCATTATTCGCTGCAGAAGCTGCTTGTACAGGAATGTTTAATTTCCGATTCAGTGTCGCATTGCTCTCTTATGTTACGTGCAACTTTGAATCACTGGGAGTGTATGAAAACAAAATGTTGAAGATGTTTTAAGCTAAGAAAGGTGAAATAGTCCTAACTAAAGACTGGATAAAATTACATTAGGCGTGCTAGAATTTGCATAATTTGTACTAATCATCTAATGTTATTAGGATAATTAAACTAAAAATCCTTTACAAAATTTTGCTTGGAGAATCTCCAGGGAAGAAGTCATTTTGATATAGGATACAATAACACGCTTTTGTGAATAGGCTACAGAGTTGAAGCTCCGGGTCTCCTAAGAAACAGGGAATTTCTTGATCTCTTTAATAACTATTAAATGCATAACATAAGCCGGTACTTGGGTGGTTGGTTAGTTGATTGATTGGAAGGCTTGCTAGTTATTTGGTAACTTACTTGATTCCTAAGTTAGTAGATTAGTTTGATGTTACATGGATGGTTTATTAGTTTCTGATATGGTGCTTCGTTGCTAGTTAGTTAGATAATCAATATTCAGTTAATCAATCCGTTAGTCGGAAGGAGATGTCTGGTTTGTTGGGAACTAATATGTTTTCTCCGTTCCTGATACCGTTCCTGTGCCATAAAACATTTTTACGTAATCATGTAATGAAACTGTTTTAATGAAATTATTATCGGTGAGCACAATTGTGAATAGCCCTTAGAAATAATTTCTCCCGGACAATATAGGATCATTAACACAAAACGTTCTTCAGGTTTATTACTTGAATCAAGTGGTCTATTGCAGACCAACACGTTAAAATAAAACACAGCAAATAAAAACATTCTTGTATGTGAAATGTGTGTGGCTAGGGCATACATGGCTTATGTAAAGAAATAACCTACTCATTATATTACAGGATACTGATAATAGCTCCCACGTTGTTCGTCATTAAGGAACGTTTAATTGATAAAGCACAACTGCTTGGCTTGCAAACCGCGTGTCAGTAAACACACTTCGAACAGCAGTGGCATTCGACCATTATTATAGACTATAATAGGTCTTTATATTTTACGACTTATTTGCACAACAGGAAAAAATTAAGTACAGCTCCACACACTTTGGATCAGCTGGTCAAGAAGTTTTGTAGCTTTTTATGGAACCTTAAGGTTCATTATCGTATTGGCAGGTACACGTGACTGGATCAAATCTCAACCCAGTTGAATCCAAACACTGCGTACTTGCTTAAAACCCATTTTAATATTATTCTTAGTTTTATGCAGTATCGCCCAAATAATTTCGTATCACCACGCTTTCCTATAAATATTTTGAAACCATCTTCATCTGCCGGCAGAATTTTGTGTTCATAATTTCTTTAAATCTATCTTTTCATTTGACAGTGGGCAATGTTATATTGGTGCATGCAATAGGCCTGCGTCTTTTAAACAAACTGCCACATGACTTGCATTCATATTGTCTGCGTTGTGGCATGTTGCTATTTTTCGATTCGTAAGCCTTATCATAACGTTTCAACTACTGCAAATTTTTCCATCACTGATGTAACTTCAACAGCATTTAATAAGATATTACAGCCTAAAGAATGGAAGGCCAGTTTCAGTTAATATACCAAGTTACAATTTCGATTACGTTTCTGTACCGGACGACTAGGCTTAGTGTCTCTTTGCTGACTTTCTTGTGCCCCGAGTCAAATGAATTACTCGTCCAATGACATAAACAGAGGGAAAGACGATTAAACTTCTTCGTTAAATATCTTTGGCGATAGTCGTGTATTGTAACTTTCTTTCTTTTAGACATTATCCATAGTCTACTTTTTAATAAAATTATTACAAGTTTTAAAACTTTATAAATCCACACGTTTGCGAAGGATGGGTCTTCCATCGTCTTAATACGAAGTGAAGAAGACAGTCTGTTGGATGCGACGGATCGTCCTCAGACCCGGAAATTGCTCAGTCCGCGGATCCAACAAAATAAGTGTCTACCCTCCCCTTTCTATTTGCGAAGAAGAAGTAAGCCCATCCTTATTATCTTCATTACGCAGATACTTCTGAACTGAGAATTGTTTGTGGAGAATGCTCGGTACCAACGCAGGGACACATATCCTCTTTTTGGGCAGAGTAATGGACCTGTCGTCAGACAGAACACTCAATAATAATAATAATAATTTTCTGTTTTACAGAAAATTTGTTTAGCGGGGGGGACGCGGTGCGATTGCAGCCCCTATCCTCCGGACACCAGCACCACCCAGCACCCCCGGTGCGTTGTACTCTGAGGAAACACAAGCCGAACAGGAAGCCACGGACGCCTTTCACGACGCAGCAGCTGCTGTCTCTGGAGAAGAAGTTCCGGGAGAAACAATACCTGAGCATCGCGGAGCGGGCAGAGTTCTCATCCTCCCTGCACCTCACTGAGACACAGGTGAGTTCTCACTGACCGATTCTCCAGTTATTTAACGATACCTTTCGACCACGTTGCTTACAGGCCTGTAATATCACGAATGGTATCATGCTTATGAATGGTGAATTAGAAGAATACTGGGAGACGGGTGCCTTACGGGTTGTAGGGACGTGTAGTGTGGTAGACGTTTACCAGACTATATGATGCTACAACCCATAACACAGCCATCTTCGGACTTACTGCCGTGAGAACCTCAAATCCTGTTTAATAGAATACTAAATTATGGTCGTTACCTATTTTAAGTTACTATCCTAGCATTTTCCTGGATGGGTCAAGGAAGACCTTAAACTTAAAATGGACGAGATCAAGGCTGAGATTCAAATCCGGGACATGCCGAATAAAAATCATATTCTTAACTACTTTGATCGCCGAGTCCAATGAGTGAATTGATAAAGAGAGACTATAGCGCACTGCCTTTCCAATACGCTTCTAGATATCCTATACCTATCGAAATATAATTTAAAGTCTAATTTGTATCGCGTGAAACATAGAGCATTCTCCGAAATAGAAACAAACTTCATGTGTACCTGGAATCAACGTGCAAAGTACAGTATTTGGATCTAAAGTACTGTATATAGTAACAAAAAGTGGAAAAGTTGGATGAGGAGGATCTCAAAGCCCTTAACACAGCGCAAGTAATATTTATTTGTACATAAGGAGGAGCTTCGTCACTATTTAAAAGTAACTTTAATAGTTAACATTTATCCTGTCTTTAATTAGGCGACATGCCATGGATACGTACAGGGCAGTAGTGGTATAACTTGATGGATTCTTAAAGTCACCATCAGAAGGAGATTAACGGTCAACTTTACACTCCAGCAACTTTTCTCCCAATAAAAAAGCCCTTGACACGCACTGGATGGGTCGTGGATCACCAGTAGTCCCTGATATTTATTCAGGCAGTCCAAATTAGGATTGAAAAAATTGTGAAACAAATTTGAAAAATACGCAAACAGAAAGCGCAGACGTGAAAAGATACTTGCGGAATAAATTAAACTTCTTTGCTCCTGTCTTTAACATTTGGCATAATAGAGAGCATTTGTGACCCAACAAGATCCTCAGCACTTTCGAAATGGTCTGCGGAAGAAGTCTCGGAACCGCCGACTTAGATGAAGGGCAACCTTCGACATGATGGTGTGGGCCTAATGAATCAACCGTTACCACTACGTAAACTAGGCTACTCTTATTTGGCATTGCAGGTGAAGATTTGGTTCCAGAATAGAAGAGCGAAGGCGAAACGGCTACAGGAGGCCGAGATCGAGAAATTGCGGCTGTCGGCCCGACCGCTCTTGCCCCCATCCTTCGCTCTGTTCGGGGGCCCAGGTGCCCACGGCGCCCCTCCCGGGCCAGGTCTCATGCCGCCCTTATTCGCAGCAGCCATGG